TGACGATTTCTTTCAGTTTATTCTCATTTCCCGTCACAAGAGTCACCACTCTTGAGGACATTGTCGTCCACTCTATGGTTCGTGTAATCAATGGATACAATGATTAGTAATTTGATGATTAGATGAGCGATAAAGTGGTCACCAATTCAATGGTCTATAACTGTAAACACTTTTCAAAGTTTGTTTGTATTGCGAGTCTCTGCATGAGTGCCATCTCTATGCCATTCACTGCATGAGATAAGCACTCAATTCATGCACTGTTTTGTCACTGTTTTGTAAATTCAGTCAATCTATGAGTCCATCAAATAATGTCTATTTTTAATCATTTGTAACATATTTTTGAATTATTTCAAACTAATTCAATAATATTTAAAATGTTTTTTCAACTAATTTATAATCTGTACAAACGTTTCCCATAAGAAAGTAATCAAACAAATTGAGACAAAATGTCGAGACATCGAGGGGTGAAGAATATGAATTACAGCGAAGGTATCACTTCCAACACTTCCAACACATTTTCAATGATAACTAAAACCAATTCCTTATATTTGATTGCATGCGAAGAGTATGACGAGTATTACAACACTTACGGCCAATCACTGGAGGAAGACATCTGTATTTCGCCCAATACTGGTCAGTCACTGTCACCACAACCACATCCATGTCTGTCAATGCAATGTTTGTCGATCTCTTAACAGAGCGTCAGTTTATGTACAACCGGTCACAACCATCACATGACTCCTCGGATCTCATGAACACGAGTGTCACTGAAGAGGACGACGACGCGGAACAGGATTTGGATTATTATCGCAATCTCTCAGATATGGACCAAATAGAGAGAGGTATGTCTCGTGTCTGACCACTCAAACCAATTGATAGACTCGTTGTCTAATGAATCATTTGTTGCATTGAATGACAGTTAAACTCATCTCATGTGTCGAAGAGATGGAGAATGTGGTCGGAGAGACAATACCCGAGTCACTGCTTATAAGAGCCGCCAAAATACATAATTATGACATAA